TAAAAGGGGGGAAAAATGAAATAAAAGGTGGAAAATGGAAATAAAAGGGGAAAATGAGAAAAGAAAAAGAAAAGAAAAGGGGGGATGGGAATAAAAGGGGAAAAAGGGGGGGATGGGAATAAAAGGGGGAAAATTGGGAAAATGGGAATAAAGAGGCAAACAATTGAGGGGAAATGGGAATAAAAGGGGAAAAATGGGGGAAAAAATGAAATATGGGGAGGGGGATTGGGAAACATGGAAATAAAGAGGGGAAAATGGGGGGAAATGGGGGGAAAATGGGAATAAAAGGGGGAAAATTGGAAAAAAATGGAAATATGGCGGGCGGAATTGGGAAAAAATGGGAATAAAAGGGGGAAAATGGGGAAAAATGGAAATATGGGGGAATTGGGAAAAATGGGAATAAAGAGGGGGGAAATGGGGGAAAAATGGGAATAAAAAGGGTGACAATTGGGGAAAAAATTGAAATATGGGGGGAATTGGGAAAAATGGAAAGAAAGAGGGGGAAAATGGGAGGGAAATGGGAATAAAAGGGGAAAAATGGGAATAAAAGGGGAAAATTTGGGGAAAAAAAATTAAATATGGGGGGAAATTGGGAAAAATGGGAATAAAGAGGGGGGAAATGGGAATAAAAGGGGGAAAATGAGAGAAAATGGAAATAAGGAGGGGAAAAGCGGGTGAAAAATGGGAATAAAAGGGGGGAAAATGGGGGAAAAATGGGAATAAAAGGGGAAAAATGAGGGAAAAAATTGGTGAAAAATGGGAAAAATGAGGGGAAAAATGGGAATAAAAGGGGGGAAAATGGGGGAAAAATGTGAATAAAAGGGGAAAAATGAGAGAAAAAATGGGTGAAAAATGGGAATAAAAGGTTGGAAAAATGGGATTAAAAAGGGGAAATATGAGGGAAAAATGGGAATAAAAAGGGGAAAAATGAGAGAAAAAATGGGTGAAAAATGGGAATAAAAGGTTGGAAAAATGGGAATAAAAAGGGGGAGATGGGTGAAAAATGGGAATAAAAGGGGAAATATGAGGGAAAAATGGGAATAAAAAGGGGAAATGGGTGAAAAAATGGGAATAAAGGGCAAAGAGGAGCGAGGGAAGCGGCCGAAGTCGGCGCCGCGCTCGGGGCTCGGGCGGAAGCGGCGCGGCCAGACGGTAATTAACGGCGCGGCGGTAATGAGCGTTAATGAGCCTGTCTAGACGGGGCCTTTGTCCCGCCGCGGTTCCGCCGCTTAACCCCGAGCGCGCCGCGGAAAATCGGAGTTTTGGGGCGGTTTTCGGCCTTTTTATTCGGCTTGAAATTTTAGTTTTATTTGCGTTTTATTTTGCGCTTTTTTTGAGATTTTTTCCTTATTTTTTGAAGCTTTTAATTTTATTTTTTCCCGCTTTTTTTTTTCTTGTTTTAATTTTTATTTTCTTGTTTTTTTCTTCTTAAAATATTTAATTTTGCGCTATTTTTAACATCTTTTTTTTTGCTTTATTTCGTCTTTTAAAAACACTACCTCTTTTTTTGCTTTATTTCGTCTTTTAAAAACACATTTATCTTTGCTTTTCTTTCCTTTAATTTTCTTTTTTTTTCCCCCTCCCATTTTAGCTTTTTTTGGCCATCTTGGAAATGGTTTTTTGTTTGTTTTTTTTTTACTGTTTTGGGCGTTATTTTGGTTTTTTTGGGGTATTTCCCCCCAGGCCGCGAAGCCGCCTCTGATCTTTGCGTTTATTTTAATTTTCCTTTCCAAAAAAAAATCGAATTTTTCCAAGTTTTGGGCCCGGCAGAAGCAGCGAAACCAAAGAGAAATAAAGGGAAATAAAGAGAAATAAAGCAAAATAAAATAGAAGAGAAAAAAAAAGAGAAACAAGGAGAAATAAAGAGAAAAAATAAAGACAAAAATAAATATAAACAAAGAGAAATAAAAAGAAATAAAATTCCTTCCCCCGTTTTAATCAGAACCAGCCCAGGCCGATCCCTCGCAGTCCTCGCACGGATTTAATTTGGATTTAATTTGTTTTTAATTAGGATTTAATTGCGATTTAATTGCGACGGGCGCGCACCCGCCGCATTTTTGCGGTTTTTTTCCTCCGTGTTTTCCCCCATAAAACGCGGCCGCCATCAAAGCGGATTTTTTCGGGTTTTTTTTGGGTTTTTTTTGTTGTTTTTAACTCGTTTAACAGCGGCGCGCCTTGAAAGGCAGCCGGGAATTTTACAGGAGCGCGCGAATAAACGGAATAAATGGGATTTTTTTTTTTTTTGGGCTTTTATCCCCCCCAAAGTCCATAAAACCGCCGAGACCGGAATCGCGGTTTCTGACCCCAAAGCCGCGCCCTTTGTCCCTCCCCAGCGCGCGGGAAAACAACAAAAAAACGGCGGAAAAACAACAAAAAAGTGGGAAAAAAAACAAAAAAACCCGCGGGGTTTGTGGCTGTGAACTTGTTGGGGTTTGGGCAAAACTTGACTTTGCCGTTGCGCTTTGGGCGCCGCGGCTCAGGCGCGGAATTCCCCAAATCCGCCCCAATTTGGGGCGCTCGGGGCTGCTTTGGTCAAGGACGGGGAGGGCGGGAGGGGGAAATGAAATTTAAAAAAAAAAAGGGAAAAAAGGGTTTGGATTGGGAGGGAAGGGGGTTGGAAAGGGGAGGAATGGGTAAAAAAATAGGAGGAGGGTAAATTAAAAAGAAATAGAAAATGAAATAAACCCAATTTAAACCCAAACTAAACCACAAAACCCCATCAGCAAATAGAAGAAATCAATGAAATCAATGGGCAGGGACCCCGCGGACCCTCCGCGGCCGGGAGGAAATTGGGGATTTTGGGGGATCCCGGCCCCAAGGGCCGCGGCGCGGCTTTCAAAGCGAAATTGCAATAAAATGTCAAATAAAACCCTGACGGAGAGCAGGCCGAGCACGTCTTTATTCCGCGCCTCCCCGCGCTCCGCGCGCACACAAATCCGCGGGTTTTGGAGGATTTTTCACCTTTTCAGGTTTTTTTTTTTTCCGCTTCTTCTTCGCCTCCTTTTTCCCGACGAGAAAATGAAAATAAAACGGAAATGGGAAAGGAAACCGCGCCGGGGTTATGCACAGAGCGCTGGGAAAATGGGAATTTTCTGCCTGGATTTTGGCCCAAAAATGAAGTTTCGTGCCCATTCTGCCGTAAAGATGAGGGGATTTGGGGGGTTTTGGGGGAATTCTCCTTTTTGGCCCCAAATTTGGGGGGTTTGGGGATGGGGATTTCCAGGGCAGCGGCGGCCCCGTGGTTGGGTTGAAAATTCCCGTGTGGCTGAAGGAGAATTAAAATTAAAATAATAATAATAATAATATTATAATAATATAATATATATAAAAAGGAATCACAGAATGTCCGGGGAGAAAAAAAAAAAAGGAAAAAATAAAATTAAATAAAGTCCATGGAGTTCAAGTCCTTGAAATTCGGGGGGAAATCAACAAAAAAAACAGAAAAAATCAAGAAAAAAAAAACAGGAAAAATAAGGGAAAATAAGGAAAAAATCTGGGGAAATCAGGAGAAAGAGGGAAAATCAGGAGAAATAAAGAAAAATCAGGAAAAAATCGGGAAAAAATCAGAGAAACCTCAGATAAAAACAGGAAAAAATCAGAAAAATTAAAATAAAATAAAAAGCATTTTTAAAACCAGGAAAAATCACAACAAACCAGAAATAAATAAGAAAAAATCAGAAAAATCCGGGAAAAAACCTGAAAAACCCAGGAAAAAAAAAAAAAGAAAAAATCAAGAAAAAAAAAACAGGAAAAATAAGGGAAAATAAGGAAAAAATCTGGGGAAATCAGGAGAAAGAGGGAAAATCAGGAGAAAGAAGGAAAAATCAGGGAAAAAACCGGGAAAAATCAGCTAAAAACAGGAAAAAATCAGAAAAATTAAAATAAAATAAAAAGCATTTTTAAAACCAGGAAAAATCACAACAAACCAGAAATAAATAAGAAAAAATCAGAAAAATCCGGGAAAAAACCTGAAAAACCCAGGAAAAAAAAAAAAAAAGAAAAAAAAAAAATCAGAAAAAATCAGGGAAAATTCAGAATGAAAATCAGGAAAAATTCAGAATAAAAATCAGAAAAAAAAAAGCAGAAAAAATCCCGGGAAAAAAAACAAAAAAACAAAAAAAAAAAAAAAACAAAAAAAAAAAAAAAAAAAAACAAAAAAAATTCAAAAAAGCCCAAACCAATAAATAAACGCAAAACCCAAACAGGACTTTTGTATGACATTACAATAATAAACCAAGATTTCCTTTAAACTCTAGTTTTTACAAAATCCTCTGGCTTTTCCTGTGGACTTACTGCTTCTTAACCAACTTTCTATGTTTTTTTCCTATAAATTGTTAGTGTTTGTTAAAAAAAAAAAAAAGAATTTCTGTCTTGATTTGCAAATACATTGTTTCCACAGGTCCAAATATAATGCAAAAAGAAGACTTTGGAGAATGTGCTTTATTCATAGATGCTGATTGCCAATAACTTTGCCTTGTGATGCATTGTGTGAGACCATGCTGCACAGCAGGAGCTCATAAGTGATCAAGGGTATTTAATTGCATGAAGCTAGACATGCAGTAAACAAAAATATGTATTACATACAGGAATCAAGATCTGTGATGTGAATTTGCCTTGATTGTGACAGCTGAATGTTTCAGAAGCAAGTTTTTAAATTTCAAATAAAGCAGGTAAACACTTTTGTTGATTTGCTAAAAAGTCTGTAAAATCCAGAAAGCCTGTGAACCCCATTCATGTGACCTAAGTCAAGATGAAGTCTTGGTTAAAGATGTAATCTTACTTTTCTTACTTCTCAGGAATCTTACACAACATGAACAATTATATTTTATATAATTATATTTCACACTTGTGTTAAATGGATCCATGTAAGAAAAAAACCAGAATAAAAGAGGAAAAGCTCCGAATAAAAAGCCAAACTCTCCAGCTGCGCGGCCCCCACGGTCCCCCGCGCGGCCGCGCTTTTTTTTTTGTTTTTTTTTGTTTTTTTTTTCGGGGGGCTTTCACAACAAGGGGTTCCCCGAGAAGTACTGCAGGCGGTCCCGGCTCAGCTTCTTCTCCTTCATGCGGCGGTTCTGGAACCAGATCTTCACCTGGCGGTCGCTCAGGTTCAGCAGCCGCGAGAGCTGCAGCCGCTTCTCCTTGGTGATGTAGACGTTGAAGAAGAACTCGCGCTCCAGCTCCCGGATCTGGAACTTGGAGTACGGGCAGCGCTTCTTCCGCGTCCTGGGGGCGCCTGGGGGCGGAATTGGGGTGAAATAGGGGGGAAATGGGGGGCTGGAATTGGGATAAATAGAGGGAAAAAATAGGAATTGGAGGGGGGAATGGGGGGCTGGAATTCGGGGTGAAATAGCGGGGAAAAATGGGGAGTGGGAATGGGAATGGGGGGCTGGAAGTGGGGTGAAATAGAGGGAAAAAAAAGGGGAGCGGAGGGGGGAATGGGGGGCTGGAATTGGGATAAATAGAGGGAAAAATGGGGAGTGGGAATAGGAATGGGGGGCTGGAATTGGGGTGAAATAGGGGGAAAAAAACGGGGAGTGGAAATGGGAATGGGGGGCTGGAAGTGGGATAAAAACCTGGGAATGTGGAATTGGAAATGGGAATGGGGTCCTGGAAATGGGATAATTATATTGAAAAATAAATCATTTAAAAGGACCGCGTGGCCCGAAAATGGGATGAATATTCTGAGAAATAAGGAATTAAGAGGCGGGTGGCCCGAAAAAGGGAAAAACAGCCTGAAAAAATGAGTCATTCAAAAAGGGATGCGGAGCCCAAAAAGGGGATAAATAGCCTGAGAAAAGAAATAATTTAATAAAGGATTCTTGGCCCGAAAATGGGATAAATAGCCTGCAAAATAAGTAATTAAAAAAGGCATTGGTAGCCAGAAAATGGGATAAAGATAATGAAAAAAACCAAGAAATGGGTAGGCCGAGAAAGGAATAAATATCCTGAAAGGATAAATTATCCCAAAAACGGGTGGGGAGCCCCAAAAAGAATCCGTGTCCCCAAAAGGAATAAAGAACAAATAGCCCAAAAAGGAAGAAATAACCCAAAAAGGAAGAAATAACCCCAAGAGGAGGGGGTGGGGAGCCCCAAAAGGAATAAAGAACAAATAACCCAAAAAGGAAGAAATAACCCAAAAAGAAAGAAATAACCCCAAAAGGAACAAATAACCCCAAGAGGAGTAAACACCCCAAAGGGAATGAATAACCCCAAAAGGGAATTAATGTCCCAAAAATTAATAAATACCCCGAAAGGAATAAGTACCCCAAAATTAATAAATACCCCAAAGGAATAAACACCCCAAAAATGAATCAATACCCCCCAAAACGAACAAATACCCCGAAAGAATACATAACCCCGAAAGGAATAAGTACCCCAAAATTAATAAATACCCCAAAGGAATAAACACCCCAAAAATGAATCAATACCCCCCAAAACGAACAAATACCCCGAAAGAATACATAACCCCGAAAGGAATAACCACCCTAAAAGGAACAAATCCCCCCAAAACGGAACAAATCCCCCCAAAAAGCGCCCGAATCCCCCCAAAGCCGCGGAGGGAGCGGCTGAAATTCGGGATTCCTGGGAGGGCTGGCGCGCCCTGGGAGCGCTGGCGGGGCGGATTCCGCAGGAATTTTTCCGCCCCGCGCAGGGATTAAGGCAGATTTGGGGATTTTTTTTTGAGGAAAAGCCGGGTTTGGGGGGGGTCAGGCGGGGTTTGGGGGAGGGAGGGGACCCCGGCCGGGTCAGGTCGGGAGCGGGAGCGCGGATTTGGTTCCGCAGCCGGGATCGATCCAGCGCGGCCCGCGAGGGGCGGAACCGCAGCGCGGGGCTCGGGATGGGCCGGGGGCGCGGGGGGAAACACCCCAAAAAAAGGACCAAAAGGGAAAATATCCCAAAAAAAGACCAAAAGGGAAAATATCCCCAAAAATCCCTAAAGGGAAAGCATCCCAAAAAAAGACCAAAAGGGAAAATATCCCAAAAAAATCCCTAAAGGAAAAACATCCCCAAAAAAAGGACCAAAAGGGAAAGCATCCCAAAAAAAGACCAAAAGGAAAAATAGCCCAAAAAATAACCAAAAGGGAAAATATCCCAAAAAAAGGACCAAAAGGGAAAACATCCCCAAAAATCCCTAATGGGGAAACATCCCAAAAAAAAGACCAAAAGGGAAAATATCCCAAAAAAATCCCTAAAGGAAAAATATCCCAAAAAAAAGACCAAAAGGGAAAATATCCCCAAAAAATCCCTAAAGGGGAAAGCATCCCAAAAAAAGCCCAAAAGGGAAAACATCCCAAAAAAAAGACCAAAAGGGAAAATATCCCAAAAAAAGACCAAAAGGGAAAACAACCAAAAAAAAGCCCAAAAGAGAAAATATCCCCCAAAAAAATACCAAAAGGGAAAATATCCCCAAAAATCCCTAAAGGAAAAACATCCCAAAAAAAGACCAAAAGGGAAAACATCCCAAAAAAAAGACCAAAAGAAAAACATCCCAAAAAAATCCCTAAAGGAAAAACATCCCCCCCAAAAAAGCCCAAAAGGCAGAACAGCAGGGAAAAAATCACCCCAAAAGGGAAAACATCACCCCAAAAAAATCCCAAAAGGGAAAACATTCACCCCAAAAAATAAATCCCAAAAGGCAGAACAGCCTGAAAAATACCCTAAAAGGGAAAACTTCCCCCCAAAAAAATCCCAAAGGCGGAACAGCCTGAACAATATTCCAAAAGGGAAAACATCCCCCAAAACAATCCTAAAAGGCAAAACAGGCCGAAAATACCCCAAAAGGTAAAACAGCCCCAAAAAAAGGATCCCAAAAGGCAAAAGAGCCCCAAAAAAGGCTCCCAAAAGGGAAAATTTATTAATAAAAAATCTGTAAATGCAAAAAATGCCCCCAAAAGATCCCAAAAAGCAGAACAACCCAAAAAATCACCCCAAAAGGCAAAACATCCCCAAAAAATTCCCCAAACCCGAATTCCCGCGGAGCGGTGCCCGGGGATGGGAAATCAAATCAAATCAAATCAAATCAAATCAAATCAAATCAAAGACAAAGGGAAAACATTCACCCCAAAAAATAAATCCCAAAAGGCAGAACAGCCTGAAAAATACCCTAAAAGGGAAAACTTCCCCCCAAAAAAATCCCAAAGGCGGAACAGCCTGAACAATATTCCAAAAGGGAAAACATCCCCCAAAACAATCCTAAAAGGCAAAACAGGCCGAAAATACCCCAAAAGGTAAAACAGCCCCAAAAAAAGGATCCCAAAAGGCAAAAGAGCCCCAAAAAAGGCTCCCAAAAGGGAAAATTTATTAATAAAAAATCTGTAAATGCAAAAAATGCCCCCAAAAGATCCCAAAAAGCAGAACAACCCAAAAAATCACCCCAAAAGGCAAAACATCCCCAAAAAATTCCCCAAACCCGAATTCCCGCGGAGCGGTGCCCGGGGATGGGAAATCAAATCAAATCAAATCAAATCAAATCAAATCAAATCAAATCAAAGACCCCAATTTCAAATTGAATTTCAAAGGCGGTTTTGGGGCCATCCAAAGGGAAATCCTCTCCTGCCAAAGCCCGGCTCGCGAGGGGAGGACGCGCCCGGAAAAATCGCGGAAAATTCTCCTTTTTCCCCCGAATTCCGGCCATTCCTCCCTCACCCCTGGCCCGGCCGGGCTCGGCAGCGAGTTTTAATTAGGAATTAATTAAAGAAGCGGCCGCAGAGCGCGGGAAGCGGCGGGGGAAGCCCGCGCGTTCTGCCCAATTGCCTCTCACCCTCGGCGAGGCCGAGCCTTTAAAACGCCCGCCTAAGTTCACGATCAAAGTTCAAATTTGTCACTCGGCCGCGCTTTTAAAATTTCACAGACTGCGCCGAGAGACAGCGAGGGGCCGCGTTTAACATCCCCGCTTTACGTTTTATTTTCCTTTTTTTTTTTGTTCTCCCACCGCTTTTTTTTTTTTTTCCTCCCTAATTTTTTTTTTCCGCCATCGTAAAAAGAAGGAAAAAAAAAAAAAAACCAGGGAGAGAAAGAAGAAAGCGCTTCGGAGCTTCTCATAAAATGCCGGCCGCGCTTATAAAAGTCCACATAAAAAAGCTCGGCCGGGCTGGGCCGGCCCCGCTAAGCTCGGCTCAACCTACCCTGAGCGCCGCTCTTGGGGCGCTCCTGGGCTCCCGACGGGCAGGGCGCCGCGGCCGAGCCGGGCTTGGCCTTCTCCTCCTCCTCCTCCTCCTCTTCCTCCTCTTCCTCCTCCTCCCTCGCGTTGCCAGGCGGCCTCTTCTCGCCGTCGGGCGCGGAGTTCTCGAAGAATCGATCGAAGCCCTGCGGCAGCACCGAGTTTTTGCTGGCCGCCGAGTAAAACCCCGCGGGCGGCGGAGGCGGCGGCGGCGGCGGCGGCGCGGCCGCGTGGTGGTGATGATGATGGTGGTGGTGATGATGATAATTCTCGTTCTTCATCAGCACCTCGGCGGGCGGCAGGCACTCCCTGTGCATCAGCTCCTCCGCGGGGTAACACGCCGCGTAACTCCCGCGCGGGTGCCACTTCCCCGAGGGCTCCAGCGCGTAGGGCACCTCGCGGGGCACCTGCGCCAGGTTGGCGCCGTACGGGTACGGGATCTGGCGAGCGGGGGCGAACGGGGGCACGGACGGGAACTCGGGCACGTAGTAGGCGCAGCCGGGCAGGTACAGGTTGCCCCCGCGCTCGCCGAAGTCGCCGCCGCCTCCGCCCGAGCGCTCCTTGCGCGCCGGCGAGGGGCAGAAGTTGCCCAGGCTCACCGAGTTGAACATGCTGGCCCCGGCGCCGCGCAGGGGCTTTTTTTTTGGGGGGTTTTGTTTTTTTATATATAAGCCGCGCGCTGCTCGGGGTTGAGAGGGTGTTTTTTTTTTTTTCTTTTTTTTTTTTTTTTGGTGGAAAGGGAGGAGGCGGGAGGGGAGGGAGGTGGAAAAAAAAAAGGGAATTTTGGGGAGGCGAGGATGACGCGAGCTCCGTCTCAGTCGCTGGCCAGCGCCACGTGATGCCCGAGCAGAAATTGTCATTTCTGGGCCGGGAGCGCCGCGGCCGCGCGGGGTAAGAGCGCCGCGCCCGAGCCAGCTCCGCGGCCGCGCAGCGCCTGCAGCATCCCCGCCGCGCCCCCGCCCGCGCACCTCCGCTTTTTAATTTTTTTCCCCCCTCCTTTCTTAATTTTTAATCGTTCTCCTCCTCTTCTCGCTGTTTTTCTTTCCCGTTTTTCGCACGTTTCTTGCTGTTTCCCCCTCCTTGCCCTTTTTCTCCTCTTCGTTCTTTCTTCCTTTTTGCTTTTTTCCTTTTATTTCCTTTCCTTTCTGTGTCTCTTCTCGCTCTTTTTCTTTTTCTTTCCCATTTTTCGCACGTTTCTTGCTGTTTCCCCCTCCTTGCCCTTTTCCCCCTTTTCGTTCCTTCTCCCTTTTTGCTTTTTTTTTCTTTTCTTTGCTTTCCTTTCTGTGTCTCTTCTCTCACTTTTTCGTTTTCTTCACATTCGTTTCGTTTTCCCCCCTTTCCCCCTTTTCTCGCTCTCTTTCTTCTCTCTCTCCTCCCCTCTTCTCGCTCTTTTTCGTTTTCTTCACTTTTGTTTCGTTTTTTTCCTTCTTTTCCCCATTCTCGCTCTCTTTTCTTCTCTCTCTCCTCCCCTCTTCTCGCTCTTTTTCTTTTCCTTCCAATTTCATTCTGGGTTTTTTTTCCCTCTTTCCTCTTTCTTGTTCTTTTCCCCCTCTTTCTTCCCCTTTTCTTTCCTTCTCTCCTTTTTGCTCTTTTTTTCTCTCCTGTCCCCTTCTCGCTCTCTCCTTTTTTTCCCCTTTCCCCCCGTTTTTCTCTCCCCTTTTTTCCCCTTTTCCCCCGTTTTTCTCTCCCCCTTTTTTCCTCTTTCTCCCCCTTTTCCCTTCCGCCTCTTCGCTCCTTTTTTAATTTTTCCCTCCCTTCTGGCTCTTTTTCCTTTTTCTCCCTTTTTCCCCCTTTCCTTTTTTCCTTCCCTTTCCCCCTTCCTTTTTCCCCTTCCCTTTTCCTCTCATTTTTCCCTTATTTTCCCCCTTCTTTTCTTCCTCCTCCTCCTTTTTCCCACCCCATTTTTCCCCCTTTTCTCCCTTTTTTTCCCCATTTTCCTCTCCCGCCGCCTCCAAGGGCCGGGAAATCCCATTTTGATCGAGATTTTAATCACTCTGATTATTCTAATTTATTATTATTATTGCCGTCCTGGAAAAGCTTCAGGCAGCTCCATAAAACCTCGGGAGTTTCAGGGGGAACTTTTTCCCCAATAAACAGGAATTCAGCGAAATTACAAATCCCTCCCGGCCGGGGGAATTAGCGCTAATTAACGAGTCCCTAACAAACGCTAATTACTCCTTCTACACGTGATTTTTATGGAAAAAAATTCCCGCTCCGGAGCGCGCGAAGTTTCCCAACTTTAAACCCGGTGCAGGCCCGGAGTTTTTAATCACTTTTAAATGAATTTAAAATGAATTTAAAGTGAAATTTTAAAAATATTTTAAGTGAATATTAAATGGATTTTGAAACGGATTTAAAAATGAATTTTTAATTATATTATTAATGATATTTTGAATTAATTTTGATGCGGGTTTCGCGGTTTATCCAGGAAAATAAAGGAATGAAATCTCTGCCTGATCAATATTCCAAACTCTCCCTTCTGGCTGAAATATTTATCTCGGTATTGAATATTTCATGCGCGGGTTTATTGTCAATCAATGGCGGCGCTGCCCTCGTTTGGTCCCGAATTAAAATTAAAGAAAAGGGATTTAAAAATGAATTTTTAATGATATTATTAATGATATTTTGAATGAATTTTGATGCGGGTTTCGCGGTTTATCCAGGAAAATAAAGGAATGAAATCTCTGCCTGATCAATATTCCAAACTCTCCCTTCTGGCTGAAATATTTATCCCGGTATTGAATATTTCATGCGCGGGTTTATTGTCAATCAATGGCGGCGCTGCCCTCGTTTGGTCCCGAATTAAAATTAAAGAAAAAAAAAGAATTTTGATTAAAGTCGTTTGTCTCGCGCCTGGAATCCCCTCTGATCCCGTCCCGCTGGAATTCATCCCGAAAAAAAATCGAAATATCGGACCGCGGCCGGATATTGGGGGAAATTTAATAAAAAAATGGGTTTGAAATGAAAAAAATCGTTCGGGAAATGAAAAAAATCTGAATTTCCTGCGGGATCGGGGTTTGCCCGCCGCATTCCCGCGGTGCTGGAGGAGCGAAATTCCCCCGAATAATTCGGGATAAATCGGGATTTCACCTGGGCTGGGAATTCTGAACCTTCCCCCACGGAAAAATCTCGGGAAATTCGGTGGGCTTTTTTATTTTTTACATCGTTTTTATTTCCAGGGAGACCCTCGGGAATCTCCGCCCGAAAAAATGAGAATTTGGGATAGGATTGAATAAAAAAATGGGGAATTGGGCGGGAATTGATCCCGGCCCGGGATTTGTTTGAAAGGGGACGGAAATTCCCAATAATTCCAATAAATGAGAAGATTTTAGGGGGTTTTGTCCCAAATCCAGCAGGAAAATTAAAGGGAAAAAAAGGGGGAAAAGGGAAATTTCAGGAGGATGAAAAGCCCCGACCGCCGCCGTGGCTTCACTTCGCTCCCCGAGATAAAAAATTGAAATAAAGTAACAAACCCACACCGAAATCACCCGAATTTCACCCCAAAATAACAAACGCACCCCAAATAATGGGAATTTTCCCCCAAATAATGGGAATTTCACCCCCAAATAATGGGAATTTCATCCCCAAATAATGCGAATTTCCCCCAAATAATGCGAATTTCACCCCAAATAATGGGAATTTCACCCCAAATAATGGGAATTTCCCCCCAAATAATGGGAATTTTCCCCAAAATAATGGGAATTTCACCCCAAACAATGCGAATTTCACCCCCAAATAATGCGAATTTCATCCCCAAATAATGGGAATTTCATCCCAAATAAAGCGAATTTCCCCCCAAATAATGGGAATTTCCCCCCAAAATCCCACCTCCGCCCCAAATTCGCTCCCGGCCGGTTCCCGCGTGCCTCTTCCCAATTTAATTCCATTTATTTCTCTCCCACCCACCCTCAGTTGGGTTTTTTTTTTCCCAAGGGGTCACCGAATTCCAGGGAAAAAAAATGGGAAAAGTGGGGAAAAACCCTCCCTGGAGGAGCGGGGCAGCGGCTGAAAATCCAAATATCCCCAAATTCCGCAGCGATGCGGGGGAAAAAATTGGATTTTTGTGGAGAAAAGAGCACCGCTGGCAAAAATTCCCGAGGACAAAAATCCCGGGAATTTCGGCAGCGCCTCCCGAGCCCCGCCGGGAATTTTGGGGGATTCCTTGGGAATTCTCGCAGCCCAAATAATTCCCATTAATTTCGGGCTTTCCCCACCCTTTTCCTTTGGCTTTGTCCTCCCCATTCCCATAAAATCCCTTTTTTTTTTATTTTTATAAGGGATCGGGGCGGGCTGAAAACACAAATAAATATCCCAGGAATTGCGGGATGAGGTTTTTTAATCCCAATAAAACTGGAAATAAAAAGCGAAATAAAAACAAATAAAACCCCGCCGCTCCGAGCCGGAATCCAGGAATTTTTCCCTGTTCCTAATCTTATTTTATTTTTTTTAATTTTTATGGCGTTTTGGGGCAAAACTTTTAATTAAAGTGTCAGCGCGGCTTTAAGCGGGGTTTTTATGGGGCGATATTAATCCCGAACTCCGAACTAACGATCTTCAGGGATTTTTTATGAGCTTAATTATTATTTTTTTACCCCCCTCAATTCCCTCCTCTGGAAGATCTCCCTCCAAAATGGAAAAAAAAATTGTTAAAAATTCGCTTTTTTTGGGTTTTTGGACACCACGGGAGGCTCTGAGCGCGGGTTTTGTAACCAGAGGGGGAATTTGAGCTGGTCCAAAATCCCGAAACCCCAAAAAGCCCCAAATAAACCCCAAATTCGGAGCGAAAAATGATTTAAAGCCGAGCCTGGGTGTGGGCTTGGGAGTTTTAAAGCCGAGTTTGGGGATTTAAAGCCGGGCTTGGGAGTTTTTCAGATGGATTTTGGGGTTTAAAGGCAGGTTTTGGGGTTTAAAGGCAGGTTTTGGGGTTTTAAAGCTGGATTTTGGGGTGTGAAAAGGGGTTTTTGGGGTTTAGAGGCGGGTTTGGGGACGGAAAACCGGGATTTGGGGGTTTAAAGGAGGGTTTAAGGCGGGCATTTGGAGTTTTAAAGCCGGATTTTGGGGTATAAAAAAAAGCGGGTTTGGGGTTTAAAGGCAAATGTGAAATTTTAAAGGAGGATTTGGGTGGTTTGAAGTCGGGTTTTGGGGTGTAAAAAGGGGTTTTTTAGGGGTTTAAAGGCGGGTTTGGGGTTTTAAGCTGAAAACCGGGATTTTGGGACGGAAAACCGGGATTTGGGGGTTTAAAGGAGGGTTTAAGGCGGGCATTTGGAGTTTTAAAGCCGGATTTTGGGGTATAAAAAAGCGGGGGTTTGGGGTTTAAAGGCAAATGTGGGATTTTAAAGGAGGATTTGGGTGGTTTGAAGTCGGGTTTTGGGGTGTAAAAATTAAAGGCAGGTTTTGGGGTTTTAAAGCTGGATTTTGGGGTGTGAAAAGGGGTTTTTGGGGTTTAGAGGCGGGTTTGGGGACGGAAAACCGGGATTTGGGGACTTAAAATCGGGATTTTGGGGGTTTAAAGGAGGGCTTAAGGCGGGCATTTGGAGTTTTAAAGCCGGATTTTGGGGTATAAAAAAGCGGGGGTTTGGGGTTTAAAGGCAAATGTGGGATTTTAAAGGAG